GTTTAGTACGTTAACTCAAAGATTCGTAGAAAAAATATAAACGCTGGACTCTGCGGTTGAGTAACTTTAACCGTTGTTCATGTGAACTCAAAGACAGCCTGATGCTTTGTATATAGACTATTTGTGGCTGTTTGTTGTTTCACCTATCAATTCGTGTCGATAAAGTATAATAGGGTAAATCCAGTATAGTGATTTATCCTATATAGTGCTTGCATAAAGCAAGTATTGCATACACTTGTAGCTGTTTTGTATCTTTGTAAGCCATTGTAAGCCCTCTTTTGAGGCACGCGCAAGCGCACGAACACCCCCCAACAAGACATTTATACATGTTTAAGGGCTACTGTGTGTGTATATATAGATATATATACACTACCAGTCAAAAGTTTGGAATAAGTCTTTAGTTTTCATATTTTTGAAAGAAGTCTCTTATGCTCACCAAGGCAGCATTTATTTGACCGAAAATAGTGAATAAACAGTAAAACTGTTAAATATTATTACAATTTAAAAAGAAATGTTTTCTATTTAAAATTTTAATTTATATGATGTAAAAGCTGAATTTTCAGAAACCATTTCTCCAGTATTCAGTGTCAGATGGTCATTCAGAAACCACATATTACATATAATGCTTGATCACATAAATGCAGTCTTGTTGAGCATAAGAGACTTCCTTCAAAAACATTTAAAAAACTTAGTGATTACAGGTAGTGTATGTTTATAATATGCAGTCATCTGCCAAGCAGAAATGCAAGTAGCCCTGATTAAAAAACGTGTTTCTGTTCTCACATTTGTAAAGGTAAAAGCACACATTCAGTATACAGGTGAATCTCAGGGAGGTTGATGAGTCACCACTGGAATAGGACACACCCTATTAACAAGTGTCAACTTCAAACATCTCCTTGGGTTCCACAGTCATGTGGGTGTGGGATCCAAAAAAAGCTGGTCCACATACAACAACCGAGAGGCAATGTGCAAACAAAATGTAGAAAGGCAGCAGCAACCACCCCCACCCCCAACACTCCTTGGTCCCCTCCAGGCTAAACTTACCCGACCTGATTTCTGCAGCCACCTTCCAACATAAAAGTTGGAAAAGCATAGTTGAACAACCTCCAGAGCAAATAAGAGGTCAATGCTAGTTGTATCCTTGGAAAGGTTGGGAAGGTATTGTATATATAAATAATATGTGCATTCTCTTTCATTTTAAACACGATTTAGTGTCATTGGTATTTATGCATCAGTAAACTCTATTTAAACAGCATGAAACAATTTAGGACATTAAGAACTAATATGGATGTGTGCTACCAACAGGTCTTAGCGTTTCTCAATATGACTGCATGAAAGGGAGGAGGAAAGGTTAAATAAACAACTCACTGAAATCCCAGTCTTGGCTCTTGGCAAATGCAACTTTTTGAATTGGCATGATTATATATTTATGATTCATGTTCAGCATGAGGGTTATTGTATAGAGTATATGCATAAGAAAACTCAAAATGAAAGCTCAAATGTTTTCCATCTTTTTTTTTTTTTTGGATTGCTGTTATCCATTATATGCTGTTAAAGGCTTTAAACCCAACAAAGTCAGGTTCTGTTTTCTTCCTTCTCGAGTGTTTGATGGTACTGAAAATCTGGTAGTAGGTTTTTGGCTGGTTATGCACAGTGATTCGTGGTTAATTGCCACGGCTTTCTGCATGATTAAATCAGGTTTAACCTGTATCCTGAAAAGCTTATTCCACAGGAGAGCAATTCACTTATGTTTAATATCGCTGATATGTGGATGAATTACTTGATGGAGGCAGGGGTTTCATCAGGAAGCTTGCAGTGGTACCCTGGAGAGGATCCAAGCTGGATCCAGACAATTCATACATTTTTGTTTTTTTTTATGAATTTTAAATTATCATGTAATATTATGTATAATAAATATATAACAAATGAATATAATATAATATAATATAGTAATGGTTCTGTATTATATAACAACGTGATTTTTCTTTTCTGATTTTCTTTCCTTATTCAGAGAAAAAGTGCCTCAAATTGCATTGCTGGAACTTACCAGGCTACCCATAGAGGAAATACACACACTGAAGCACTCCTCAAATTGCGTTATTAAATATATTTATTCTACTTTTGGATTTTGTGATGTATTTTTGATAAATAGTTATTTAATAGTTGTCTAACATTGTTTACTGAAAACTGAGACCATGTGACCGTTGCCACATGGCATCCCTGTAACACAATAACTGCAGTAATTTATTACCTCATTGCAGATTTTTTTGCGATCAGTTATATTATAGCATGTATTTAATTATTTATGGAAATGGAAATGGAAATGTTTGTACTAATTATACATGATAATACTATCTTTGCATAAGCCTTGTGTTCTGTAAGAAAAAGAGGCAACATTGAGTCAGCAGTGAGGATGGCAGGCTTTTAGAAATATATTGAAAAATAAATTAACATTACTTTTTAAAACTTGAATAAATTACTTTTAATTCTTAAAATACCATGAATTCAATTAGAGGGAGACATTTATACTTGAAACAGTAGTCTATTTAAGAAACACTATTCCACTGTAGTACCTAATTTCCAAACATTTACCCAAAAAAAAGGCTCTAAAATTTCTTATATAAAAAAAATAATAATATGCCATAATTAGACATATTGCATACCAAAGAATCTTGCCAATCTGTATACAGTAGGTTTTATATAAAAACCATAATATCTTATCACATAAGCACACAATTTAAATTTGATATGAAATGAGAGCACTCATGGAAGAACTGATTCAGTTTCTGGAGGGACCTGTCTGACATTGTATGTGTTATCTGTGTTCTGTAACCGTTATATTTTGATATGCTGTCTGTGTGCAGAACAGATGGGGCCCCCATCTAAGGTGTGAGTGTTCTGTGCCAGAATAACCAACTTGAGAAGCGAAGAGTGAGTTTACCATGGCAAGCCCATGCAGTGAACCTACAAAAAGTCAACAGTACTGAATTATGGCCACCGCCGCAGAGCTGCGTGAGGTGAACCTCCACTAAACTCTATTGCGATTTCTTGGGGAAACTGATGTAAATGAACCAGTCAAACAAGACAATTTGCAATACAAACTGTTATTCAACCCTGCAGACATAAATTTTTATGCAAAATGAAAGAATTTTACTATTCGAATATGCAGGTCTTTAGTAGGCCTGTTATGCTTAGTTTTAATTTCACAGTCAAGACCATAAAGGTTTGTTGAGATTTGCGTGGGTGATGATTGATTGTTCCTGTGAGGTAAGTGGAAGTTTTCCTGAAAGATAAGAATCCTTGACCCATAACCCCTTCACCCACTCATTTAGACCAGTCACACACAGGCACGCATTAATTTAAAGGAATTGTATTTTTTTTAAATACATGTAATGCCTCTCCCACTCTCTCCTCCAGCACACCCATATGTGCACCAAAGACTACGACGCCCAAAGGAGTAACTTCGAAGAAAAAAAACAGTAATGAACAAACTAGGGCCTGGTTTGAAGAGTAGTCTATGAACTTAAGCATTAAACCAGACGTTACAATATATTCTTTGTATACTGTGACGCGAGTTGATCAAAAGGAAGCTATTTTTACATCTTTAACATTTTCTTGTGTGATGGTGGCTGCATAATTTGTTTACTCAGTTGTTAGCATTGCTTTCAACTAGCTAACAATCTCAGTCACTGTGCGTGTGTGTGTTCTACACACATCTTCTGTCCCAAAGAGGGCATGCACATGACATGAAGCCTGAGGCAAAATCTCTTATCAGATAGCAGTGAAACTAAGATGAACGGACTGTTCATTCAGAGTAATATTAACACTATTCAAGTGGTTCTGGCCTTTTATATAATAATGAAATACTCAATTGACACTGTATGTAAATAAAGCTAAAAAGTTAATAAAAGTAAAGTTCATAAAAACAGTATCAATGTCAGATCTATTTATGATGAATGACTGTTCTATGACTAAATTCTGTGAAACCATGTAACATTTAATTGAAGATGTAATGATGTCACCTGATATCACAAGATCCTTAAATTCTCAGAAATTGCCTCTGGTACTTGACAAACTGCCAAACTAAGCCATTTAAAATCAAGCCTTTCTGTTGAGAATGCAGAATTAACATAAAATGGTGTTTATTGCCTTTTGAACAGTTTAAAATACTTGGGCACGCTAATACTTTCTTTGATGGATAGCAGCATAAATCACAGCTTTAAATATAGTTTTACTGTAAAATGCTTACTGCCTGTAGAAATTAACCATGTCATAAAAACAACACAAAATGTGCATACTTGATCATGTCAGAAAATAATACAATAATGGTTGCATAAAATTCACTTGAAATCACTGGCCATCATATAAAAGGGAAGTAAAAATTCCCAAAATCATTCTAAACCAGCAATACTGATATTCTAAGAGAACAGAATTTCTTAATAACAACAATGTGCTTGGCCCAGTTGTAGTTTTCTTTTCAGTGTGTGTAAGCATTAGTATAGACCAAGTAAACAGATCAACTCAAATAAAAACAACATAAACTCATCCTGATAAATATTACTCCGGTAAAAGTACAAGCACTCTTTGTAATTATCTACTTGATATGCAATTAGAATTAATAGAAGAATTCATAAATTATTAGGGTTTGTTTTTTTTTCATTATGCTCTATATACCTATTTAGACACAGATCAGAGCTTTTATGAGGTTAGAGCTCAGCCTGACAATATTATGAGTTATGACGAATAAGCAAAAGAATTAATTAATTAATTACAGTGACCAGTATTTCAGTGGATGCAGACATTAAATACACATGATTTGCAAATATTTTTAATTAATGAAAAGATGAAATATTAGTTTTGTATTTTTTAAATAAAAAAATGAAAATAAAAAATTCTTAGGATTAGGGTGTGGATTAGTCTATAGTATTTTATAATTGGCTGTAAAAAAGTGGAAGTCTATGGTATGGGTAAGTATAGTAATGTCCTCACAAGTATAGAAATACCTTGTCAAGTTTTTTTTTTTTGCTCTAAAATGTAAAAAAAAAATGTGTGAGATAGGGTTAGGGTAAGTGGATAGAAAATACAGTTTGTACAGTGTAAAAACCATTAAGCCTCTGGAGAGTCCCCATGAAACATGGAAACCCAATGTGTGTGTGTGTGTGTGTGTGTGTGAATATAATTATAACACAATAAGTTTGAAGTTTTACAAAAGAGTTTAAGTGTATTTTATATTTCCTTTGAGTATGTGTGCATCGGTGCATGTATTTCTATATACAGAGAAGTGTGAATAATTTTGTATATGAGTTTCTATTTACAGGCATCTATGTGCATTTGTGTGTATGCATGGTAACATCAGTGTAAAAGTAATATATATTCTTGAAAAATTTGTAACATTAAGAATACTATTTTAAGACAGATATTGTATTATTGTATAGCAGCATTTAACCATTCTAAAAAAATGACAAAAAGCACCATAAAAGTTGATGCACTATATTCCAAATCTTCTGAAGGCATATAATAGCTTTGTGTAATGAACAGACTGAAACATCTTGATTCGCTGAAAATATTTCCCTGGGCTAATGCTCTCAAAATTCAGTTTTATTAATTACAAATATGCCATGTGAAGATGCATTGCACCAAGTTTGATGTCAGTGATTCTCAATGCCACTGGCTGTTTTATTTCATGATTGATCGAGTCTCAGCATGTTTGAATATTCAGAAGTGCGAATGAGATTTCAAAGCTATTTGAAAAATTCAGTTTTTCAATGTTTAATGTTATTTATTTCTTTACTTCCAGATAACAAGGAACCCAATGTTTTTCTAGAATGCAGAAAGATAAATATTTTGACTTGGAATGTAATTGAGTGAAGGTAAAAGGTTCCTATCCTCATCCTCATCCTTCACGTAGTTTCCATCCTCATATTTGATCTATAACTGCACACAAAAATAAAGCTGAGCAGGAACTTGATGGATTTAAAAGTTAATTCAACCACAAAGGAAGTTATGACCTGGGACATACCAATTCATCTTTACAGCTCCTGTGTTTAATCACACAGTGCAGATTGTACTTGATCAGTGCTGAGTTCTCAGAGCTTAAAAATGTAGTTCCCCAAACAGCAGACAAAGATGATGATGAATTCTAATGACTGTGAAAACGCCATGTGTGTTCGGGGCTCTCAGATTAATCTGTAAAGAATTAAGTTAATATATTTTTAGAAGGTGGAGGGCCACCCGAACTCTGTCTGCTTCAGTAACAGGGAAGTGTAGAAGGCTGCCGGATCCTCTCTGGCAAGGCTGGCAGCGGCAGACGCACATGATTATATGTATATGTGCTTCACTGAGTACAGTGAGAAAATACAGACAGCACTAACTGTGCTCGCTGTTTATTTGAGAGAACAGCAAAAACATACATATAAAATGTTATTTTAATTTTCTAAAAGATACAGTGATCAAATCTACTACTAATATTCAAACTTGGGTTGTCAGTCAATTAAAAAAAAACTAATAGAAATAATTACATGATATACTTAATTATTAATACAATTCATTATATATAAACATTTGCTAAGACAAGCCCCCAGTGAAGAGTAAATCACTGAAAAGACATTTAAAAATCAATTGACTTTAGACGTCGGTGGTAATTTAAGTATGAGTTGTTTCTGTGATAGGAAAATATTTTTAATATGCAATTCATGTACAAAATAAATTTTTGAACGTGTTATTTATATGTATATTTAATTGTACTAAATTAAAGAGTTAAACTGAGCTCTAATGCAAATATTAATACAATTTGTACATTAAAGGCACATTCTGTCCAACAGTGGTTCGTTGTTCTTCTAATTTTTTTTGTTCTTATTTGACATTCATGAAAACATATTTCAGGACTACCGAAATGCTGCCGGAATGCACACGCACACACAGACACACACACACACACACACACACACACACACACACACACCTGAAGCATTCTGAGAGTGATCTCTGGCTTAAAGCAAGAATGAATCACAACACCACTATTATTTTGTCTCTTGATCAGAATGTTTTGATTTTTCGGTTGTTTTTAGCTGTGTAATGGTATACTTAAGCTTTTTTTTTTTAAAGGAAATTAAATGATAAATGGTTTACGTTATAAAAAGAATGAAAATGTTTACTCTAATAAATTAGAAGGGAGTGAGCTTGTCAAACAACTACAGTCAGCCCACTCATGACCCTCTTCAGGTTACTGTCTGTGGATTCCTCAGTTTCGCTTAGATACTGTATAACATTTCACACCCATCAGAGGTGCATTCTCAGCACTTCTGTGTGGAGGAGGGATTCCCTGCTGTTTTCTTAACCAAGAAAATGAATGAAGATCATTCAAATTCCTCATAGTTTAAACATGCAACCAAATCCATCCATCCTCAATGTTTAAAACAAAAAGCCATATTGCAGTCTAATTTTCCCAAACAAGGGACATTACAACATAATTAATACATTTTTACCAGAATTCACCAATTCTCGTATGGAAAATGTGGTGCAAGTTTATTGTTATGGTCAAAGGGATAATGTCTAATGTACTCTTTATATCATAATGGTTTAATATTTTATATTAGGCTATTATTATTTACACTAAAAAGTAAAGTTAAGAAACTAAAATTTAGACCAAAAAAAATTTAGTCGTCAAGTTCCTTCCACATGACATTTTACAACTAACCTAGCCTTTGCCATCACATTATCTATAGAGACTTCTTAACTTTGACACACACGGGATATCACATTATCATTTCCTGTTTTTTGTTGGTCGCACAATATTCGTTTTGCCTAACAAAAGTGTTTCTATGTTTTTTTTCTTCATGACAGTTGTATTACCCTGACATTTTTGCATAACTAAATATTAATATTTATCTTAATTTAGAAATGAAAAACAATCATATCATACAAGAGGTGTGTGCAAGTCATCATATGCATAATTTGTATTTGTATGCATTTTTTAATAAATTAATTTATCCAGGTCAAAAGAAAATGAGCATCATATCATTAAACTTTATATGATACATTTTCCAATGTCTGACATGGACACACAATCAGAAAATTATGTTCCGGCTTTAAGAAGCTTTTTATGAAACAAGTTAGTACAAGCACAAAATCAAGGCTGTGGGTGTTTGAAGGAGCATTTCCATGCATGGGGCAACTAAGCATTAGCGCTACCAAGAATCTCATATGAGATTCCATTTCATCAAATGACCAGACTCTGGAAACACACACAAAGAGCATGTCATGAACTACTTTGCAAAACAACTCTTACAAAAATCTGTTTCACAAGAGCATGAAATTGCCACTATTGCTGTGCTGTTCAGCAACGATCCTCCCTGAAGACTCTAGTCTGGGTCTTGAGGATCATTCAGCTCCTCTCTACCAGTTAGATACACACTTTTTCCGCTGACTGGGAGCATGGAGCAGCCGTTTTTGCCAGTCTCTAATAATAGCTAGACAGTGCACAACAGTCAGATGGTTTTGAAATACATGACAAATGCCTGGGGGCCAACACATTAACACTCATCAGACAATCAACATTTAGAAGAGAGGGTTGAGGAAGACTACTTGGAGAGAGAGACAGAGAGAGAGAGAACGAGGCAGCCAAAGAAGAAAGAGAGCAGGGGTTGTGTGTGCGGTCATGTATTATTAGTGAAAGGGAAAGAGTGCTTGACAGACTATTCAAACATCGGAAAACACCTGTGCCTTACTCTTAGATGAGACAAAGAGCTCTTAAGATCTAATAATATAACAAGCTCTGATGAGGAGTCACATTTGGATAAGAGAAGTTACAGACTAACATAGCCTGCTGACTCTACAAATGACTAAGTCAAAGAATATTTCCTCCATGTTGAATGCATACTTGGGTAACCTACTGAACCAAAATAACTGG